GCCTATGAGGTTTCCCCACCATCTCAACGCTATAAGGATCGACTCTAATACCATTTGTAAAACCTGAAAACCAAAAGCAACAGACTGACACAATAACTTCAAATCCAACTTAAAACCATGATATAAGTTATTGGTAGCTCACAACTTGAGACATATAAGAAACTTACAAATCTCATGTGTCTATATATATATATATATGAGTAGAACTAGTTGTTACAAAGTAGCATTTAATTATAATGATGATGATAAAGAATCATAAATAGGGTTAGTTAATGGGTGGGATTATGGTTATAATAATAAAGATTAATTAGGAATAAAAATGTGGTAGACATGCTCACATGGCACCTGGCCTCCAACCAAAGACTTTAATTACCTGTAAATTTAATTAATTTAATTAAGTTCCGGATTAAGCGGAATATTAAATGTGTGTTCCCACATGCCATTGCCAATCTAGGATTGAACAAAAGATTCCTCTTTTCAACATATTTTTTGTGTTTTTTTTTAAATTATAATCATATAAGGGGTTGTTTGTTTATCTCTTAATAGTTCTATTAAGAGGCAATCTCTGAATCGTTAAGAGGTGAAACTTGTTTGGCAAAAAAAACGTCTGCTTCTTAATGGTTCTAAAACTCTCTGAATGATTTTGTATCTTGAATTCTCCCTTAATCATTAAGAGCCCTAATTTCATTGTACACAATTACCAAACAATTATATTTCATTTTGCACTATATTATGAGAGTCTCTTAATCATTCAGCACCAAATCATTCAGCAATTACCAAACAGCCAAACTCTAAATATTGTACAGTAGTTTACGTTAAAATGGATTGAGTCGGGTTGATCTACTGATAATTTGTCTTTTTTTTTTAATTTAACAGCTAATTTGTCTTTTAATTTTTTAATTTTTTAATTTAACAACTAATTTGTCTTTTAATTTTGATGACAAAAAATGTATTATTTCAAAGGATGTAACGATTATTGATATGCATTGAATCAATTCTTTTCTAAAGCGGAAATGATGGGTTGATTTGAGATTAGAAATGATCAAGGGTCTAAATTCATTTTTACATTTCTCATCTTTAACTCTTATTCTCACGTGATCGTTCGTGTATGTATGTGTGTGTGATATTATTGATGTTTCAGAGTATTGGTGTTTTTGTATTTTATCCATGCTTTTTTTTAACCTTTTTCTGTATTGTGTGTATATATGGGTGTGTTATCACTGATGTTACTATTTGGTATCATTGTTGTCTGTTTATTAAAAACAAACTCGTTTTTTAATAACAACTTTTTCTATATCATGATCTACGTTGTACTTTTGAGATCATTGTTTTTCAAGCAAAAAATACTTTTTTTTAATGTCTCTCGAGGGAAGGAAAAGGTAATACGTGCAAACCAGTAGGATATATTAAATATGTTTAGTTTATTTCTTGAAATAATAATTTAAAGAGAAAATTACAAATTTGGTCCCTGTGGTTATATGAAAATTTTGGATTAGGTCCTCCAAACAAAATAATTACAACTATGGTCATTATGGTTTCACTTTTGTTATGGTTTGGATCCTTTGTTCTAACTTTGTCAACTTAAATTCTATTAAATAAGGGGGTTTTGGTCATTTTGTCATTTTATGAATATTATTTTATGTATTTACAGAGACAATTGGAGGCAAACTTGCCTCTTTCCCCATGAACTCCCCTCTCCAATCTCTTTGTCCAGCAATCGTACCCCTTGGCCTTCTAGGAGGTCAGGGGTTCAAACCTCACCATAGGTGAGGAAAGTGTGTGAGTTTATTTGTTGCATTTTCCGTATATAAATATTATATACTTCAAAAAAAAAAAAAATTGTCTCGTTGTTCTCATGCACATTTGGTGATTTCTTTGAAGATAGGGTTGGAACTGTATGAAGGGAACCTCGTGGGTTTGCATTTGTTCAGTTTTTAGATGCTTATGATGAAGCTCAATAGAGTCTAGATCATAATCAATAGGGAACACAGATGAAGATGATGAACATCTAAAAGCCCAACCTCGACCTCAAACCAACTCCAACCCCCTCCCTCGAAAAACAGAAACAAACGAAGATGACAAAAGGGGATGGCAGATCTAGAAAAAGGAGGAGGTTAGATCAATAAACAGAATCTAAACCCTATGAATCGACAACACTGTTACAATAAAAAAAATTGAAAATAGGATTCGAAGCTGTAACGATAAAAATTAAAGAACATGGGTTATTTTCGGTATGGGTTCATCAATGGTGCACATACACAACAGATCTATGTCAAGTGTAAACCATAAATGTAATTAGTTCGATCTGATCCGTTCATCTATCACTTCAAATATACACCATTATTTTAAAACAAACCTCCAATTTAGTTGAGTATTTTAAGATAAATGTAATTAGGTATTAAAAAAAACAAGTAAACGACGACCTATTTATTTGGTTAGGTGATGTTTTGTCATCATCAAGCATATTTAAAATACTTAATTAATAATAAATATTGTCCGTTTTATTCATACTTAAGATCAAAATTTTGAAACATGTCTGATAAATGAGGTATTCAGTTTAGTAACATTTTTTTAAAAAAGAAATGACTCTAAAATTTGTAAATATGAGCATGTGGTTTTTGTTGGAATTTCCCATCAAAAAATACAATGAATTGTTATATAATTAATTAATTAATTAATTAAATAAAAAATATTAATTTGTGTGGCTAAAAATGTATTATTATTTTAACTGAAATTAGAAATTCTGACAAGAACAAAGTACCTAGAGAGTGAATGATGAATTGAAGTGGTCCATTTTTGTACCTTGTGGTCCTTTTTCTCTTTCTCTCTCATTTTGTCTAAATATGTTTTTACTTTTAGCAAATAAAGTTATGTATGGGCAATTCCAATCCCTCACGTACGATATGCAATCCTCAAAGAATCCGGTGTTACTGGCTCATTTACTAAATGTTTATCCAGTTCAACACTATCACTTACATGTCTGTTTCTGACATTTTTTAGGCTTTGGACGAGATGTAAAAAATGGCACTCGATAAGTACGATATTTTTTCAATATGTTGTTTTTATCATCATAAATAACATTGAATTCATATAAAATCGTTTTTCCAAGTATTTCTTGACGCATAATCAATCAATACTTATTTCTAAATTAATATTATCTACTAGAACATTTTTGTGTAGTATCAGTAATTTATTTCATCATCAAAAACATCCAATGATATACTTTTGGTACATAGAATGATATCATTTGGAGTCACAAAGTTGATTCTTTTGATTTCTAAGTGACAGTATGTAAATCAATGTAAATAGGTTGGTTTTCCATGTCATCTCATGTTAGTGTTTTTTAATGTCATTTTAAACTTTTATATTATGTTTTCGAATTTTGGAAGATTAACACTATTTTAAACTTATATATTATGTTTTCGATTTTGGGAAGATTAACACCATTTTAAACTTTTATACTATGTTTTTGAATTTGAGAAGATTAACATCATTTTAAACTTTTATATTATGTTTTCGAATTTGGGAAGAAAAGAAAGAATGAGAAAGGAAAGAAGAAAAATAAAGGGTTTTTTTAATGTGTTTTTTAATAGAGAAGAGAGATGAAGGAAAAATAATGAAATAAAAATAAACTTTGATATAATTTTTTTTCCTTTCCTTTTCTTTTCCTTCCTAAAAAAATCTCGAGAACAAAATATTTTTCTTCTCCCATTACTTTTCTCTCTTTCCTACGTAAAAGAAGACTCAAAAACATAGAGTTAGGATTAAAACAATTTTTTTTGGAATCATCAATTATATAAATTATAAAACTCATGTTGGTGATAGTTTGAGATCTTATTCTTCTTTTAGAGATAGAATAGTACATAAGATTTGTACACTAAATATTATATAATAAAGAACAACTATGAGAAAACAATTATACTTTTATTATTCTACATATAAATATAAGTTGTACCGTCTTATATGGTTGGTAATTTTTTTTCAAAAGATAAGGGTTTTGTTAGCTAATAATAAAAAAATCTATCATATTCTAATATAAAAATAGAATTCACGCGAGAAAAAGAGTCGATGGGAGATAAATTATGGAGAATATATCAAAGTTTTCGAAGCAAGTAGTTTTAGACGTCGGTTTTAGATTAAAAAACTTATAAAAACATTAAATAATATTATATAATGAACGACAGATTAACATCTTTATGTACTTTTTTCTCCAATATATTTAATTCATAAATGTTTGGGTCTTTAATAGTTAATGTAGTACAAAAATATTTTCTTGTCATATTAGATACTAATTTTTTATGTGTCTTCTATTTACTATTTTTTTTGAACTACTATTATATATATTAAAAAAAATTGGGCCCCTAATTTTTCTGGGCCTTGGGCATATCCCTCAGGGACGGCCCTGATCACTTATTTACCTGATAAGATTTTAGTCTACCAAAACAGTATTGTGCACAACAAAGTGCTAACTGTGGTAAGGCTCTCGGTCGTTGTCTTCGGTCTTACTAGGTAAGATTCTTAGTTCTTGTCATATTCATCCGGTAAAGCAATGTGACTTGGTAAGTGTTTGGTAAACGACTCCTAAGACTCACTTGACGACAAGACGCATGAGTGGCCTTGGACTTGAAACCAAAACCGACGGTTTTTTGAGCAAACATTTTCTAAGTCTACAAGAAAAAAATCAACATTATTCACGTGTAACCATGACATCAAGGAAAAAACAAAACAAAACACTAATCTCTCTTCTCGAACCAGTCATCTTCATTGCGTTGTCGAGATCACTAAATGAAGTGACGAAGCTACAACCAACAAGGTGTTTACCCGATCATTTCGATAAGATAGGGCTATAGAGCGATAACAAAAGGTCGTTATAGTTCTATAGCGACGGCAGTTGTTGCAATATATGTCATCGTTGTATTTTCATCTAAGTTTTAGCACGTTCATAACCTTACAAAATATAAGCGCTTAGGTTTTATGAAAATTTCATCAACATAACGACTGTAAAATGCATTTTTAAAACATGCTTTTAACAAATAATGATTGTCACGATGTCCTACAGGCCAGGCTACTTTTAGCAACCAATGTTCAATGCACAAAGCTTTGGGCAACACTTGACACCAAAGAGGTAATCAGCAGAATTTACTACATAAAAACTAAGGTTGATGAAGAAGATCGAATATAGTAGTACTAAACCCGCGACCCACTTGAAACAGGTGGGCTCGAGGTTCTTGAGATGGGCGGGGTTAGTAGCTCCTCTTTCGCAGAGGTCGAAATGCTGTAAGATCGTCCTCTCACTCTCAGGCTTCTTGAAGATGGCAATCTTTTCTCCTTGGGGATACCCGAGTTAATAACCACTGGATCCATGGCTGCCTCGCGTTTGGTTCTCAAGAAACGGTCCAGATTTTGTTTGTATCTGTCCACATTAGTGCTGGTTATTGTATCAGAAAGGTTAGTCTTGGATTCAAATTCTATATCGGTGAAGTAACCGTTTTCTTGAATATCCTGCATCGCAAGATCATCATACTCTTCGTCTGATTTAGTCGACTCCTCATCCACCGATCCTTCCATCTGCGTAATTTAAAGAAAGAAGAACGCATTGTGAAAATGATATTAAACTAAACTGGCCTGGTAAATCTCACTAGAGAGTAGGGTATGGGGATGAGATATACACAAACCTGACATCTACCCCAAAAGAGTAGACCGGTTGTTTCTGTGAAGACCCTAGCTTATGCAAGAGTGTAAGTAAACAAGTAGAATCATGAAGACTAACATATGATGAATGCAACACGAAAGAAATGAATAAAATGTACGAATGGGTACATCGAAGACGTACAAAAAGGTATGCAAAAAACACAACTAGCCTAAACCCCTCCCCCCCCCCAAAAAAAAAAAACTAGCTACAATACCCCATACCTAATCGACTACCCTGGTCCTCCATCTCCAACGACTCCTATGAGAGGTCATACCCTCGGAAATCTCTAAGGCCGCCACGTCTAACCTCAATTGCTCATCTCACGTCCTCCTTAGTCTACCCCTCATCCTCGCCCCTCAACGGTTTATTCTCCTCACTGGTCACATCATCGGTCGCCTACGATCGTGCACAAACCAACGGAACCTCCCCTCTTTCAATTTATTTGTTATTGGGGAAACTCCCAACTCCGCCAGAAAAACCTCATTCAGTATCCTGTCTAACCTAGATCGGACACATGACCATCTAAGCATCCTCATTTCCGCATCTTCCAACTTCCTCCAACTGGCTTCCTTGTGGTCCAACATTTTGACCCATAAAATATAGTTGGCCGGATGGCTCCTCTATAGAATTTGCACTTCAGTTTCAATGGAAACTTCTTATCACACAACACCCATGTGGTAGCTCTCCTCTTGAGCCACCCTGCTTTTACACTGTGTGTTACATCTTCTTCTACCTCTCCGTTTCTCCGAATCTATGGAACCTAAATATGATATGATATGAGCATCCTAAACCACAAGCACTAACACCTTTCCGATTGCATAATTACAAAGAAAACAAACAAACAAACCGATGCATTTAATCTTGTGAATGAACGAAACGGTACCTCTTCATGCATATGCTCTTTGGCATTATCACTAAGATCCTCATCACTATCTAACTCGCGTGCATCATCTACCTCTCCATCACTGCCAGAAACAGACAGCTCTTCCTTCAACTGAAAGTTAGACGTTATAAAGTTAGAATGTAAGCAATGGCCATTCTGCCATACGAAAAACAAAAGGTTGGGTGCAAATGAGTTTTTGTATACCTCTTTAGCATGTCCTTCGGAGACCTTGGGTGAGCTACAGCATGAAGAATAATATCTACTACCATTATCAGTAAGTTCACCTCTCGAGTCATCAACACTGCCAGCATGGCTAGTGCCGCCAAGGTCGTTTGGCCAAGCACTGATTCCAAATTTGCCAAACTGCAGATTAACGGGTTCAGCCTTTCCAATCTGCAACGGCCCATACATTGGTATTCCTGGCCCATTTTCAGCTGGACAGTCTAAAATGGGCTTGCCATCGGCATCTACAGAATGAACGGGCCACGCCTTTGCAACAGAGCCATCATTATTGAGAAGAGCCATCAAATGCCTTGAAGAGCCTTGCCTTTGGATCAGTTGAAACATTCTTTTGGAGCCAAGTGAATTGGCTACGCACTGATTCCTGTACTCTTCGTCAACTACAAAAACTGTGTTAGTGGTGGAATCATACAACGGTTCCCCCGCATCACGCCTTCTTAAGGAGCTGAAAACCGTGGCATGGATTGCAGCAACACTCTTATCAACGTTTGTGTTATTTATTTTTGGCACCAGATGCTTGTCTGCTCGATTGCACAGGTACTCTTGGATTGTTCTGATGTTTCTTATATACTTTATATACTTGTTCTTGGCAGGATCTAGAGTCATATACTTTGCACGAACTGCGAATCTTTCCATGTGCTTGTCCTCATTCGTGATGTATATCATGAACGGTATGATTGATGGATGTTTTTTCATTAACCCCATCTGCATAAAAATACAGTTGCATCAGACCTCAAATTTAGCTTGACATGGAAGATGAAAACATGTTTAAAGAATTTTTATTACAGAGGCAGGTTCAAATTAGAATGACAGATATCGTGAGAAACAGGGAACCAACTATTTCATGTATTTAATGATGAATAACCCTGAATAATCATGAATATTATTCTTCATGAATATCATGCATTTTGATTATTCATGATATCATGTATTTTTATTATGAATATAATGTATTTTCACTATAATATGAATATCATGTATTTTCATTATAATTTTCGTCATGCACATTTATCACGACATTCATCATGAATATATAGTTGGTTCCCAGTTCTCAAAAGATTTGTGGTTCTCATTTGAACCCACCCCTTCTATACATACCACAAAGTTAAGGCTCAAGTGAACACCCTCCACAACAACTGATTCTTTCCGCTCCTCCCATGCTGTGATAAGTCGATCAAGACTATCAATGACCATCTCGCTCTGTGCCTTAAATCCCTCTATGGCCATTTGCTTAGAACCAATCAAATCAACCTTAGTAGAACTGGAACCTTCAGCTTCCTTAGGTGCTTCAGTTGTGGAAGTATCTGAAACACTGACCTCTTTCTTAGCTTTTCTCTTGGCCTTGGCTTCTGAAACAGCCAATGGATCTAGATGTTCCCCTGCATGGTAAGTAGAAGACCAGAGAAGCGGATTTTGTTTTTCATCAACAAAGCTCCTCATCATATGCCGTATGGAATCTGTAGATATAACGGTTGTGATCCCTAACCTGCTAGCCTGCAGATTAATTTTAGGGATCAAAGTCTAGATAACAAAGTTCAAGTATAATATAATTACATAAAGAAAGCAATGTATATCAAACTGCAAGAATAAATTAGGAACTTGCAACTGTAAGATTAAGAACACGCTTAAATACCGAAGGACACAAATCAAGAACACACTTAAAGAAAAGATAAAAGATACAGAATTTATACAAATAACTCGTCCATAGAGAAACACAAAATGCTTATGAAGCCAGATGGTGTACCAGCAAAGCAGACAATGTAGATTTGCCACATCCACTAGTACCACAGAGCAGCACAGTCACAGATTCCTTCCTTTCCCGAATTCTGAAAAAGAAGGCTGAAAGTATTTAATCTTCGATGCAACCACTCACCTCATCCTCCCTAACTATATTCACACACACAGTGTGCTTGAAAACACAAACAGGATTGATTTTCGTTGTTAAGGATATATATAACATTGGTAATTATTTAGCAATAACATCTGGAATGGCTCGAAAGCATGAAAAACTCTAAGCCGGAATGATTAAAATCACCCCATAGAAAAACTTGTCCTCCAAACGGTTCTATCCAAAACTAGTTTGGAATGCATAAAATAAGAGAAAAGGAAACATGTTGTGAAATATTAGCTAACTTCAGAACATGTTAGTAAAATAATTCACAAGTTACATACAAACACGACCCTGCTACTAGCATGTAAAAGAAATAATTTAAGCAAGCAAGAACCAACACACATTCATTAATTGTGTCTGTGGCACATCCAATTTTCTCTACTGCTTCCATACATCATCCTGGTTTCATGGTCTTCCTACTTGAGTGACCATTAGAAAAATCGTCTCATCAAGTTGAATTTTGATCAGGCAAGCTGAAGGGTTAAGTTGAAGAAAAAGCTGACACTAAACCAGTAAGTGTACAAGTACAAAAACAAGAGGATGTAGGATAGACAACACCACAGGAGGATAGACCTGGCCAAGAGGTGGGTTTCCCACTTTCTCCCTTGGTGTGTATATAAGTCTGTTATCCCTAGCAAACCCTACCAAGCATTCTGTGTTTACAGCGTAAGTAATTAAGATTGCAAAGAACTCAAACAAAACGTTCATAGCGCTAATGACTAAAGCAAAAAAATTGAACTTTCATGTAACAAATGGTGCCGTTGCCCCCACATAGAGACCATTCACGACATAATAGTAAGATGCCAAGCATGTACTTCCATAGATCTGACTAGATGGGATTGACTAGAAGAACATCCATACCCTTTCTGGCAGTACCACGTCTTTTTTAATATCTCAAACCATCCCATTCTTTCCAATTTGATCCTCAGTCTAATATCTTTGTGTTACTTTCAACTTGATCGAACAAATATTCAAATTTGCACATGTATGAACAGAAATAAAAAAGTGGAGCACTAAACTATGCCTCCTAATACTGCTACATGGACTACAGTGGTCATGAGTTAACTGGAATTTTAAGCACTCAGATGCACAAGGTGTTCCTAAAACGAATTTTGGACATCATATTGTACCCTATTTTTCAACTGACATGCTGAAGAATGAAAGTAATGCAACAGCATCACCACCATGAAAACACCTTGATAAAATAATGAAGTTATAGCACAAGATATCTCAAAGATATGACAGTTATGTTGCACAAGGATGCTGTAAAAAATATAAAAAAGCTCCTTCATTTGTTGGGGAAAGGAAAGCTTTTGGCATATATGCTGGGGAGGGACAATCTTCTAGATGACTCCAGCATGCACCACGAGTCTTACCAACCACAAATTGGAAGAGAATGTAACTAAAAGGAAAAGGAAAGGTGGTGCAAGAAAATCCTTCTCGCACTACCGGATTGTGTTGATTGTATAGCATAAATACTCACATCAAATTAAACAATTAAAGGAAGTTAGAAATACCTGCAGGCTAAAACAAAATCAGCTCTCTGATTGGGACCAACATACTTGTATTCCGACAGAGCATCACATACAACATCAATGAACATCCTCCTTTTGATGACAACTGTTGTGCGCTTTTTATATGATTCAAAAGGCTTACTCCTTGTACTACCATCTCTATTTGAAACCACATGATTGCTTCCATCCATCTTATCAGACCGATTATTATTGTCACGGTTATTCTCTTTCAGAGGATGAAATTTTAAGGTATCCTTTCCCCATTGAATTACACCTATATCAGCCAAAGTGTCCCCTAAGCATTTAGTTCTCATGATTTCAAAAACCCTTTGGCTAATCTGTAAGAAAAAGAGATCATATTCAGTGGAAGCCAACAAAATACAACATAATTGAATCATCAACAGATGCAACTAAATAAAATTGGAACTTAAAGGCCTGCAGCAATTGTAAAAATGAAATTTTCTGAAGGATACATATTCCATCAGGACTGGGGCAAGAGGTCAAACTGGACAAGTCGTTGTCTTGTAAAAATTAAAGGGGAGAACATCACTTTCAGTCCAATAGTAAGATTGCATAAAGATCTTAAGTTATTTTATGGAAGAAAAAATCAGATGAAATCTGGAATCAATTTTCGTTAACAATCAACTTTACCTACATGATCATAAATCGTCATTCAATTTCTAGGAAACCACACAACAATTGAATTATAAATTGTAATCTTCTGAGGATTAAGAGATGAAACTACGGAACCTTGAAAGCGTGACGTGCTTTACAACCCATCAACTGCAAAGTGCTCTGAAGAACAGGACGAGTGTATCTAAATGACGATTCTTCATTCCCTTTCGTTTCTTCATCCTCCTCCACCACTATGTACAGCAATTTCGCAACCTCCGTCATTTCCTTAATTCCTCTGTTATCCCTAACAAACTATTGATGATCGTGGACATTATATATAAAACAAGAAAAGAACAATCCAATACGTTTCAAACTTGGCAACAAAATGGATAGAAAACGCGGATTAGAAGAAGAAAAAAACAATGGGCGAAAGAAGAAAGATAGATTCCTTACGTGGAAGCTTTGGCTATAAAATAACTGAAAGAGGGAATAGAATAGAATAGGGTTCAGATGGAGTTCGGAATCGCCGTTTGAATTGAATGTTAGAAGAAGAAGAAAGCTTCCATCGGGATCTCGTCATTGTTTCTGCCACCTGCTTCCACGCATCACCACCTTCAGCAGCCCCTCTCTATCTCTCTCTCTCTCTCTAGAGTTGTTGACTTTGTCGGAGAGTTGTTGACGGTTTTCCCATTACCCCAACGTTATGCGAACATGGTATTTATAGGGTTCTTTTTCTTCAACAAAATATAAAACAAAATAAATATTGCTTCAGCATTACTCACAATTATTAAATCAGGAAAATATAAAGAGTTAGGCGTGGTTTACTTACCCAATAAGCATTTAGTGTTAAATTTTAACACTGTCATTTACTTATCGGGTATGATTTTAGTCAATAAAAAACAGCTTTCTATGCAATAAATTACCCTCACTTACCGGATAAGACTTTAGGTCTTTGCCTCCTCTTAGGATAAGATTCATGGTCCTTTCCATGTTCATACGATAAGTTAATGTAACTTGGTAAGCGCTTACTCAAGTAAGCAATTGATAAACGGCCCCTTAGTGTTAGGGTTCGTTTATCACACGTTTGCCTTACAAGAATAATTTCAAGATTGAGAATTTTATCCAATAAGTGAGGACGATTAGTACTTAGGTAAATTGTTGTATATGATATCGTTTTGATAGACTAAAATCTTACCTGATAAGTAAGTGATAATGTTGAATTTTACTCGTGACCGTTTACCTGGGTAAGCGTTTGGTAAATGGTTCATTAATGTTTATATGTATGAGGAAGAAATTAATAATAGGGGTAGGGATGCTCATAGGTTGGATTGATTAGGTTGAAGACATTTGTACAACTCAACTCAATGCTTGCGGTTTAAAAAATCTTAAGTCAACCCAACCCAAACCAAAATGCAACCCAACCCAACACAATCCAACCCAAACCGTACAGGTTGGTCGGCTTAATATTTTGGTATATTAAAATATTCTTCTAACTTTGAATATGTTATTTCTTCACTCCTAATTTCTTTTTCATCATCAACCATTTAATACAACTTATTCATACTTCTTATGTATATCATATTCAACTAATTTTCTCAATTTACATATATATGTTCACATTTACTAAACATATACACGAATGAGTTATATAGAGATGTGAATAGATTGAAAATATGTGTATATGAAGAGCGTACGTGATAGTGTAATTGTCTAATATATATATTAATAGAAATTCAACAATAATATTAAATCCAAAAAATAAAAGAATATTGGGTTCATCGGGTTGGGTTCAAATAATAGTAACTCAATATCAACCAAATACCTACGTTTGAAAGTTTTATAACTCGATTAGACATCGGGTTACTTCGGATTGAGTTATTTCGCGTTTAAGTTTGGTTGGATTGGGTTAGTCGGGTTCTTGAGCACCTCTAGGTAGGGGTACATAGTCAAGATTCAAAATGACGTGAGCCGTGATGTGACAACGACCTCAAGCCTTAAGTTTTACGAGTCACAATGAGGACACGGTATTTTCAAAATGTGACATAAGCCAGCAAATTTGTATGTCATATATAATTATATATATATATATATATATATATATATATTCCATTATATTATTTAATAGTAAAATGATATTAAAAAGTTTAAAATATACATTAGAAGAAGAAAAATCATATATATTAACTATTATTATATAAAGAGTTTGTGATCAAATATTCAAAAGAGAAGTTGTATAAGGGTTTTACAATTTTGTTTGAACCATGAGTCCATAACATGCATGAATCTATGAAACTCTGAGTCATTTGATTAGATAACTCTGTAAAAGTATAAAACCTAAAGTTAAAAATGTAAAACACAAAAGTTTAAAAAAAAAAAAAATTTAAATTAAAAAAAGTCATGCCTTGAAAAAAAGCATGTCGCAACCCATCTTAAGACGCAATGATGTGAGTCACGTCTTACACAAACGCTACAAATCATATCGAACATCAAAGACGTATCTTACGCCATAGTGTGCGCCATTTTGAACAATAAGCATAGTAAGAATGCATTTTGGCCTAACCCTATTAGTTATTACTTGAATCTTTTCAGATGCTAAACATTTTCTAAAGCAACCGATTTATTAAAAGAAAGAACTAAAATACAAGAAAACGAAAGATTCTTTCAATAAAATGTAGAAAGCTAAAAAAAGTAACGCAACACCTTAAGTGACATGGTCTGTACGTATAATCTTTATAAGAAAAGTTTTTCTTTATTAACCTGGATATCCAACCCGCTATGCGAGCCGACTAATCTTAGAGCGATCAATTGCTTTGCAGATAGCCCGGAGTTACCGCATTTGAACATCCGTGGCCACAAGGGGATTTTTATTGCTGCTTAGATTTGAACCTAGGACCTACTAGTACTTTTGACATTTGGAGCCAAGCTAAAACCAATCAGGCACTACCATTATGGTTAAAAAAAGATGACATGATCAACGATGTAAATTTATAATAGTTTAACAAAATCAGATCTTTAAATCCTTGTTTTTATGAATTTGGTCATCTAAATAACCGTTGCATACGGCATTTTTAATGTGTGAAATTTAGTACAAACAATAAATCTATTTTAAGTGGTAATATCAATGGGTTGTTTACCAAACACTTATTCAGTAAACGTATATCGATAAAATCCGACATTATAATTTACTGACGAAGTAAGATTTTAGTCAACAAAAAACGATCTGGTAAATGCTAACCATGGTTAGAGTTGTCACTCTCACTTACCATATAAGACTCTCGGTCCTTGTTTTGCTCTTACCGGGTAAGATTATTAGTCTTTGCTCAGTGATTTGATGTAAAATTTGATATATTTTAATGTAATATTTTTGATATTCAGAGTGAAGATGGTCATAGAAATACCTTTTTTTACCAAAAGAAGAAATTTGTTGTACAAATTACCAATTTAACCTTTGAATGTAATTCTAAAAATGGATAATACATGTTAGATTGGTGTAATTTTATAAATTAGAAAGGTGAAAATGAGAGTAGTTAGTATTGGCCCTCGCTTCTAGATTTGGAGAATAAACGTGATAATGAAAGCGAAAGGAGCATGGCCCCCATGTTAGTATCAAATGGTATAAAATCATATATTATATTAGAAGAGTATCCGTGCAATGTAGTGAGACATATCTTGATTTTAATGTTCTATATTATCATTTGTCTATGTCGATGTTATAATACGATTTTATATGTTTTTAAGAAAACAATAATGATTTTATTTTTGAATAAAATATAAATTTGAATATATCATAAAAATTTGAAAATATATATATCAATGTTAATATCAAATCAACTATTCAAAAGTTCTCATTTTTTATGTTATTTCTTTAATTTATTTTTTTATTATAATTTAATTTAAGTTTAATAACGAAATAATTTATTTTTGGTTTAATAATACAACATTTTATAAAGATAATAATTAAGTATCCTGTTAGAACTCAATGATTATCTTTTATATTTAAAATGAGATGTTTATCTTGTATTTGATTATGTTTATCTGCAATTAGTTACACGAATTCAGATATGAAGCTTTAATAAGTTGTATACTTGCAATCTTGAGTTTTAAGTAATATGCATTAATAAACAGTATTTTACGTATAAAAAGTGGTTTTTAAGAGTTTTTGTCAAATGCTTTATAATATAGTATAGATATGGGAGATATTTTTAATCAGAAACTCATTAAATCGTGAGATGTTTGAAAATTAGTGTCATGTGTTATTTTATATGGGTTTTTTATTTATAAGTAGAATTTTATGTAGTGCTTAACATATATTTGTTTTACAATGTTTTTGTTTCACATGTACTCGGTTCACAGTGTGAACGCTTTTGACATGTTTGTGAAACAAAAAATACATAAAAAAATTTACATTGTGAATTGAATACATGTGAAACAAATACATGTTAATTAATACATTAAATATTATACTTGCATGGAAAAAAATTAATGTGAAACAAAACCTTAAGTTAGAATTTCTCCCAGATTTTAAAACTTTTGAAGTTCTCAAATAATTAAGGTCTCTCTCTCTCTCTCTCTCTCTCTCACACACACACACACACACACATACATACATACATACATACATACATACATACATACATACATACATATATATATATATCCAATATTTTGTTTGATGGTAATTTGAATGTTACCGGAAAATCTTGTTTTCATATGATGATATAATAATTTGACGCAACAATTTGATAATAGCTTAATAATATGCATATTAAAGAAAGTTGATAGACAATAATTTTACGTTAGAGTTAGATTTCGGTAATAATGAAAGTTATCTTGAAAAGAGTAAGAAAAGATCTCCACATTTGGATCCATCTTAATTGAAGATCAACACTAATGTGGTGTATCGAGATACACTAGATCAATTCTCGTGATAAGCGTAATTTATAGGATGAGGTGAGATTAAAAGTGATCAAATGTCCAGATTCATTCTTATGTTTCTCGCCTGAACTCCTGTTCCCACACGATCATTTGTCTATTACATCAACCCCATTTATAAAACGATGCATATATTATAGAAAGTCGACCCATACATTTTTGTAACGAGTTTTTGTAATAAAAAGTGTATAACAACTCGTTACAAAAAAATGATAATCTTTAAAACATGTTCAATTTCATTTTAACATGTGTTTTTTTTTCAAATATACCATTTTATGGCAAGATTTTCAACGTGTAAATATATTTATCACGACAAACATGTTTAACTCCTAACAATGCAATTAAATAGAAACAAGCTTTTATAATAACACGTTTTGTTTGTTTTCATAAAAATCGCTTTTAAAGACATATGTTATTATGTGGATGGAGTCACCCATTTGAACCTCCATGACTACAAAGAGATTTTTATTCCTCTTTGGATTTGAACGTAGAACCTCCAACTTAAGTTCAGAGTTCATTATAAACTTGAAGATTAACATTATAAAATGTGTTGAAAAAATTACATATTTATAAAAGTTTTTTAAGATCTTTTTAGGATCACATTGAGTATAATTAAATGTGAAACTGCATATTCAATATGCAAAAGTTCTAAATGACGTGAGTCATGGTGTGGTGGCGAGGTCAAGTCTTAGGAATCACGAAGAGGTCGCAACGTTTTTCAAGACGTGACT